AAGCTAGAGAAACATAATGGAAGTACATGGAATCAAACTACTCTGTATTTACAATGAAAAAGACTTAGTTTGCTATAAGGCAGAAACAGGTCAGTTGTCAGCAGCATAGTCTTTGGCATCAGGGTCTGTGCGCGCGGCGCTGTTGGCATCTGCCTGCGGTTGGGAGCTGGCGAGGGATATCGGTGGGGTGACAGAGGTACATGCGCGCTTGTCACTTGGCGCGGCCAAGACCACGGGGTCATCCGTGGTGCTAGGCATTGGAAGGCTTGCTAGGACGCCACGGGGCTCGCCCAAGGGGTCATGGGGCACGGCTGAAAAGCCGCCCATGACATTATATATGCATACGTATGCTATTTTGAAAGTATTTTTCATATAAAAAATATATAGGAAAAAAATTGGGTATCAACAGTTGCCCCTCTTTACCCGGGAAGGATGAAAGAGTTGTCGGGTAAAGATATGATGGCCAATTTTTACCGAACGGAATGGTTTGAAGAATTTGATCGAGCTCTAGATCCTGAGCTACCTACATATCCCTGGTCTTACAGGAATCAGGTCATACGTAGTCCAGGATCTGTCAGAGGAATATGCCGATGGAGATTTTCCAAGACGAACGCGAGATTTAGTTTAGGATGGATGGTTAAAGTTTAATAGGGTTGCGGGAACTAGAGAGGGATTACTCCTGCTGAGACGACCGCTGCTCGTCAGTTTACCTGCAAACAAGCAATGTATTGTGCGAAAATTTAAACATGATGCAAGTTCTCGTCGGTCCATGAAATGTTGTCTTTGGATGGTTAGGATGACGTCGTCAGACCATGATGTCCTGGGCCATGAAGCGTATAATAAGGATTCGCAGGCCATGAAATGGTGCTCCCGGGCTATGAGAATGATGCCTCCGATCTATGATGCCTTTGAATAATGATATGCAAAAGATAAAAGGGGTTCTCATGCCATGGCATGGCGTTCTCGGGCTATGAAAATGGTGTCTTAGAAGAATGACGCCTTTAGACAATTTTGGCGATCTTTCAGCCCATAGAATGCAGTAGGTGGCGATCTTTTAGCCTATGAAAACGTAAAATAAAGCGGTGATATTTCAGCCATGCAAGTGTGAAGGTGGCGATATTTCTGCCATGCAAGATGTAAATGAAGTGGAGATCTTTCAGCCGATGCAAAATGTAAATGAAGTGGTGATATTTCAGCCATGCAAGATATAAATGAAATGGCAATCTTTCATCTGATGCAAGATGTAAATAAGGTGGCGATATTTCATCCATGCAAGATGTCAATGAAGTGGCGATCTTTCAGCCATGCAAAATGTAAATAAGGTGGCGATATTTCTTCCATGCAAGATGTAAATAAAGTGGTGATCTTTCAGCCGATGCAAGGTATATATACAGTGGCGATCTTTCAGTCGATGCAAGATGTAAATAAAGTGGCGATCTTTCAGCCATGCAAGATGGAGGTAGAGCTTAACCTCGGAAGGTAGAATGGTAGCCTTATGCAATGCAAAGAATGCAGATGGAGGTAGAGCTTAACCTCGGAAGGCAGAATGATAGCCTTATGCAATGCAGAGGATGCAGATGAAGATAGAGCTTAGTCTCGGAAGGCAGAATGGTAGCCTTATGCAATGCAGAGAATGCAGATGGAGACAAAGCTTAGTCTCGGAAGGCAGAAAGGTTGCCTTATGCAATGACGAAAATGCAAATGGAGGTAGAGCTTAACCTCGGAAGGCAGAATGGTAGCATTATGCAATGCAGAGAATGTAGATGGAGGTAGAGATTAACCTCGGAAGGCATAATGGTAGCCTTATGCAATGCAGATGATGCATATGGAGACAGAGCTTAGTCTCGGAAGGTAGAATGGTAGCCTTATGCAATGCAGATGATGCATATGGAGACAGAGCTTAGTCTCGGAAGGTAGAATGGTAGCCTTATGCAATGTAGAGAATGGATATAGAGACAGAGCTTAGTCTCGGAAGGCAGAAGGGTAGCCTTATGCAATGTAGGAAATGTAGATGGAGGTAGAGCTTAACCTCGGAAGGCAGAATGATAGCCTTATGCAATGCAGAGGATGCAGATGGAGACAGAGCTTAGTCTCGGAAGGCAGAATGGTAGCCTTATATAGGAAGTAAAAATAGCAAATGGCAATAGAGTTTTCTTAGCTGATAGCAGATTGTGGTATCGTGATTGCTGGGGATATTATGCCTGCTGGGGACACTGTTGTGTGCGGATAGCAGTTACCAAAAATGGTAATTTGGGAAATGATAATTTGGCAGTAGAAGTACAGTAGAAGAACATGATAGCAAAGTAACATGCGGAACACAGTAGAAGCACTGAAAAGAAAAACACTGATAGGAACAGTAAAAGAAACATGCTTAAGAGATTTTTCACAAGAAACTTAAACAGGGCTTAATATAAGGAAAATAAGGAAACTTAAGAACTTAGCAGGAAAATACAGTAGGAGAAACATGCTGGAACATAGTAGAATACAAAAATATAAGAACACAGTAGAAAAGCATACGAGAGCATGGTATTGAAAACATGGTAGAAGAACATACTAAAACTTAGTAAAAGAACATACAAGAATGGAGTGTAAAAACTCAGTAAAAGAACATACAAGAACGGGGTGTAAAAACTCAGTAAAAGAACATACAAGGTAGAAGAAAATATAAGAACACAATAAAGGCAAATAAACACAAAAGACAAAGGAGAGAAAGTCAGAGAAATACTTAAGCATTTTCATAAAACCCTAAATCGGAAACGAAGCGGTTTTGAAAGTAATTTTTGAAAGAAAAGTTAGGGAAATCATTTGAAAACTCAAGGAGAGCACAGATACACAACGGATCTAAATAGATCGGAGAAAACCTCGAAGGGTTACGGTTTCAGAAGAACCCTAGAGATGAGAAAGGCTTTGAAAGGTCACCGATCTGAGTCGAAGAGGTCAGAACTAGGCTCAAAACACCATGGTACACCGGAGCAAGGCCGGCGATGACTCTGGAACCTTGAATCGGTAGAGGTATAGGTGCAAACCTTCAAGGTCAGGCCTCTAATCTTCATGTATCAGGCGTGTGGGAGCAAGAGAAGGTGAGTATAAGACTCCCATAGCCTGAGAAGCCGTGGATTCCGGTGGGTTTCAAGGTAGAGGTGGTGGTAAGAGGAGGTTAGGGTTTGGGAATGTTCGAGAGAGTTTGAGAGTTCAGAGGCGGATGGTAGTTGAGAAATGAGAAGGTTAAGGTGGTCGTTTGGGTTAAAAAGGTAAGAGTGAATATGGGTCATTGGTCTCAGAGATCAACGGCCAGGATGAGAGGGGTTTGGGTCGGGTAGGATTTAATCGGGTTAGGGGAGGGGTTAAATTAAATTGGGTTGGGGAATTGAGATTGAGAATTGGGATCATTTGGGGCTCAAATAAGGCTAAAATTGAGATAAATAGGGCTGACGTTTAAATAGCCATTTTTTCCTTATTTATATTATAAAAATAGTAAAATATTTTTTGGAAATAAATTAAAGGCACTAAATCGATTAATAATATGTAAATATTAAACTAAAAATACTGGAAGCAGATTTGTAATTATAAACACAATTAAATCTTAAAATAGGCTAAAATTGCAATTAAATGATATTTAACTTTAAAATGCTAAATAAATCTGTAAAAAATATGCAAAATGTACCTTAGCTATATTTTGGTATAAATATGAGAATTCAATAAAGGAGTTACCAAAAATGATAATTTGGGAAATAATTATTGGTTTTTCTGATAAAATAAGGCGATAAATTGATTTAAAAATCTTTTAAAAATTGGAAAAATAATAAAATACTTGGACATGCTTATATATGCATACTTATGCTATTTTGAAAGTATTTTGCATATGAAAAATATATAGGGAAAAAATTGGGTATCAACAGGGAGCAGAGATATACCAAATAAAGCTGAGACTATTGGGAAGTCATTACTATAAGAAAATGTGACATTTGAGCAGAACAATGCGTCTAAGGAGGAATTCTCCAATTAATGGTTTGCTTAGTAACATAAATCCTTTCTGACAAAACATGGATGTCATATTATTATTGTGTTACTTCAAGCCTAGTAACGGAGATTGCCTACACACTAGTTTTGAAGTAGGGGCGTTTGTAGGCATATAAATTTTATTGAATTAAATTCATAAAATAATTTGGAATATATTTAAAATTCAAGATATATTAGTCCAAATAACTATTATGGGCTTGTTGTAAAACCTAGAGTTAATGTGGATGTCCACTACCCCCACTATTTTTACCCATGATGTAAATAACCTCCCACTACTCATCACCATTATGATTGTAACTCCCACACCTCCATAACCCCTCCCCATGATCTCAATTGTTAATGTCATGTTTAAGACAATCACCTTCTATGTAATAGTATAAATAGATGCATGAAATGTCATATGGGATACACTTGAACACTTGATGAAATAAGAAAGCAATCTCTTCTTCTCTTCTTCTACTTATCTTCTTGTTTTATATTGTTACTTTGAGCTACATTTCTTGATACGTTATCAGCACGAAGTTGAGCTTTTTTGTTGTCCGGGTATATTTGTTCATTTTGTTTTCTTCGTTGTATATTTTGATTTCATGATTAGTGTCTTTCATATGCAGTTTTATAATTTCTCACATCTCTAGATATATGTAAAAACTAAAGAATTCTATGTTTCTTTATTTTAAATTATTTGCATGATTGTCATGGAAAAGTTGCTAATTTTCATGTTAATAGAATTAATTGAAAGAAGAATACTTGTTTTATGTTGTTCAACATTTGAAATTGTGTTAAAGTTAGAAAACATTTTTGTTCTATAGTTAACATCAAAGATATACTAATAATTTGAAGAATAAAATAGTATTCTTTTCTATGGAATTGTCACTTTAGTATATATAGATCACAAATTTGATATTATGTCAATTTTTATGATTCTTTACGCTATTATCCTAATGATTTCTAATTATTTATTATCTTTGATAGTTTTTACTATGTCGAATTTGTCAAAGCTTGAGTTTGTAACACTTGACATTTCTAGAAAGAATTACCTATCATGGGTTCTTGATGCTGAGATTCACTTAGCTGCTAAAGGCCTTGGTGACACCATTACTCAGGGTAATGAGGCATCAAGCCAGGACAAAGCGAAGGCCATGATTTTCCTTCGTCATCATTTGGACGAAAGTTGAATATTTGACAGTGAAAGATCCACTTGAATTGTGGACTGGCATGAAGGAAAGGTATGATCACCTTAAGGCTACAGTATTTCCAAGGGCTCAATATGAGTGGATGCACTTACGGTTGCAAGATTTTAAGACCGTAAGTGAATATAACTCTGTTGTATTTCGAATAACTTTCCTATTAAAATTATGTGGGGATGTTATGAATGATGAGGATTTGTTGGAAAAGACTCTTACAATTTTTCATGCCTCAAATATGGTATTATAGCAGCAATACCGTGAAAGGGGTTTTAAAAAGTATTCTGAATTGATCTCATGCCTTCTGGTGGCTGAGCAACATAATACCCTTTTGCTGAAAATTCATGAAGCTCGTCCCACAGGGTCAGCTTTACTTCCTAAAGCGAATATGGCAGCTAGACGTGATAAGTCTGGAAAAATAGAATAATAATCATGGCCATATGAATATACGTGGGCATGGCAATGATAAGAGACGATATGATAGTCGTCATCGTGGTGGTCATGGCAAACGAGAGAACAATATGGGTTCTCAAAACAATCCTTCAAGAGGCAAAAGCGGTAACTGCCACCGCTGTGGCATGAAAGGTCATTGGAATATTGAATGTCGTGAACCTGAGCATTTTGTCAGGCTTTATCAAAACTTCATCAAAAGAAAGGTAATTAATGTTGGAGCATCTTCTGTTAATGCCCCAATGGAGTCTCACTTGACCTTTCAGAATGATTTTGAGGCAGGGCCTTCAAACAAAAATGATGACAATGCCGAGGCAAATCTTGCTTTGAATCAATAATTAAGAACAAGCCTCTGTCAGGATAAACTTTATAGTATCAATATTTCACTACAAAAAAACTGGATTTAGCTATGAACGTCGTCGCTAATCTTTCGCTAAATCGCCCGTAGTCGTAGCTAGCAGAATTTCTTGATAATTTGTCGCTAAATTAGATTAGCGACGAATTTTTGTGTTTAGCTACAAAATTGTCCGTCGCTAAAACTAGATTTTTTTAGTAGCATTGTTCATATCTTAAGCAAAAGCTTCAGCAAGGATAAATTTTGCAATGGCAACGTTATTGCTTCAAGAATTTCATACGAATACTATTTAAGACTATAGCAATGTGGGATTTGCGATTCTAAGGGTGTACGGTACAATCTTTCTCAAATATATTATACGAATTTTTCCCTACTCCAGGTATGTTAAGGCTATCCCTTCTTTCTTTTGGCATAATCTATACGACACGAACGAAAAGAGCAAATGCACAAATTCCATAAATGACTCTATTCATAGAAGTATTAGAGATATCTATGTTCTTGAATTTTCATGTGTCATAATATTTTATCATTTGTTCATGGGTCTCAGAAAAATATGAAAGTTGAAAAGAGTTTACTTTATGATATTACTCAAAGGCAAAATGGTCTTATGACTTTCCGAAAGATTTTATCAACGTACTTTTCATACATTCCATTCATGTACATTGACCCATGACCAGATGGCATTATATATGGGTATATATGTATGTATATATATGTATATGGGATATGAGAAAGGTTATGGCGTTATATATGCACCACCACCTGATCAGCTGGTATACGTTGATGATTTTACCCACGGTGGCCAAGATGATATGATTGGATGCCCTCAGAGGATGATGAGGTTATGAAGCATGTACCTATGCACGATATGACATTCATACGCATATGCATGATACTATAATTATTTCATGATTTACAAAATTATTCAGACTTACAGGTGGAGTCGTTTACTCTATATTTCCTCCATGTCTGTTATGTACTTATTTATGTGCCTTACATACTCAGTACATTATTCATACTGATGTCCAAGTAGGTTATCTGCTCAGCAGAAGATATTGGTGCACTCCATTTGCTTCGGAGTTGCTTGTTTGATTAGTATGAGTTAGATGTGTATTATTTGGTATGGCGGGACTCTGTCCCGACGTTTATAAAAATTATGTATTCTTAGAGGCTTGTAGATAGATGTAATGTACGTAAAAGATTATATGGCCTTGTCGGCCTATGTTTAGTGTTCGAGTGGTTATTTTGGACTTAGAGGCCCATATGTCTTATGTATAAGTTGGTATTACCTGTTGTGTTCTACCTATTTCACGGCAGCCTCTCCGGCTTAGTTATTTATGATAGTATGACATGAAAAGATACGTTATATTGGTACTCAGTTGAGTAAGGTACCGGGTACCCGTCGCGCTCCATCGGTTTGGGTCGTAACATCGATGATCTTACTCATTTGGAAGTTGAAGACTTCTTTGGAGATCAAAACTAAAGTTTGATCATTTTACTGGGGAATGCAATTATGTTACTTTTATTTTCAGTGATTTTTTTTGTCTCGTTCTAAAGTTGTTTTTTATTTTCACGTAGTACTTAAGTTGTCTTATGTTGTCGTTGGTAATGTTAGTTTTTGCGTATTTCTCATGATGTACTTTTATTTTATTCTTTTATGAAGAAATTAAAATTCTCCAGTCTCCAAGTGGATCCAAGATGAGTAATGAAGATTTATGTCTTTTGGACAATATTAAGAGAAAAGAAATTTTTCTCTTATTTGGTTATGAAAAAGGCCTATGTTAATACAATATCCGGTAGTACAAAGTTGATTGAGGGCTCTAGAAGAGCGGCCTTATTACTACCTAGAGGAACGATATTAACTATTGATAATGCATTGTATTGTAGTAAGTCTCAAAAAAACTTGTTGAGTTTCAAATCTATTCTCCAAAATGGCTACCATGTTGAGATATCAAACTAAGGAAAGATAGAATACCTTTATATTACTACAATAAAAGCGGGGGAAAAATATGTGCACGAAAAATTACCCACATTTTCTTCTAGGTTGTACCATACTAATATTGGTGTGGTTGAATCACATGCCATAGTAAACAAAAGGTTTACTACTTCTAATGATTTTATCATTTGGCATGACCGGTTGGGCCATCCCAGTTTTAACATGATGCGCAAAATAATAGAGAATTCAAATGGGCATACATTGAAGAATAAGAAGATTCTTCAATTTAAGGAATTCTCTTGTGCTGCTTGTTCTCAAGGAAAATTGGTCATTAAACCATCAGCAGCTAAAGTTGGGATTGCATCCCCTGCATTTTTGGAACGTATACAGGGTGATATATGTGGGCCTATACACCCTCCTTGTGGACCATTCAAGTATTTTATGGTCTTGATAGATGCATCTACAAGATGGTCACATGTATGCTTATTGTCAACTCGTAATATGGCATTTGCGAGATTGTTGGCCCAAATAATAAGGTTAAGAGCACAATTTCTAGATTATGTAATTAAGACAATTCGTCTTGATAATGCTGGTAAATTTACATCTCAGGCCTTTACTGATTATAGTATGGCCACTGGAATAAAAGTTGAGCATCCGATTGCTCATGTTCATACTCAAAATGGTCTAGCAAAATCATTGATTAAACGCCTCCAATTAATAGCTAGACCATTGCTAATGAGGAAAAAACTTTCCCTTTCAGTGTGGGGACATGCTATTTTGCATGCAGCAGTACTTGTGCGCATAAGGCCAACCAGTTATCATAATGTCTCCCCATTACAGTTGGCTTTTGGTCAGGAGCCAAATATTTCCCATCTAAGAATCTTTGGATGTGTGGTATATGTTTCAATTGCTCCATCACAAGGCACAAAGATGGGTCCCCAAAGAAGGTTGAGAGTATATGTTGGTTATGAATCTCCTTCTATTATTAAATATCTGGAACTTATGATAGGAGATTTGTTTACAGCCAGATTTGTTGATTGTCATTTTGATGAATCAGTTTTTCCAACATTAGGGGAAGAAAATAAATAGCAAGAAAAAGATATAGATTGGAACTTATTATCTCTATCTCATTTGGATCCTCGTACAAATCAATGTGAACAAGAAGTTTAAAAGATCATTTATATGCAAAATATTGCAAATTAATTGCCAGATGCATTTACTAACCTTCCACGGGTTACTAAATCGCATATTCTAGCTATAAATGCTCCAATTCGAGTTGATGTCTCAACTGGACAGTATGATAATGCAAATGAGTCTAGGCCACGCCTTAAACATGGTAGACCAATCGGTTCCAAGGATAAGAATCCCCGAAAAAGGAAAGGAGCAAATAATCAAGTTGATCATAATATGGAGACAATTGCTCAAGAGGAGCACAAAGACATAATAATTGATAAGACCTCACATGAGGTTCTAGTACCTGGAAATAATGAAAATGAAGAGATTTCAATAAGTTATATCTCTACGGGAAAAAGGTGGAACCGGAATAATGTTGTTGTTGACAATAATTTTGCATATAATGTTGTTGTTGAAGTAATGCAACAAGATGAGGATCTTGAGCCAAAATCTGTCGATGAATGTAGACAGAGAAATGATTGGCTAAAATGAAAAAATACAATTCAAGCGAAATTGTCTTCACTCGAAAAACATAAAGTTTTCAGACAAATAGTCTGAACGCCTGAAAGTGTCGAGCCAGTGAGGTACAAGTGGGTTTTTGTGTGAAAACAAAATGAGAAAGTAAAGTCGTAAGATATAAAACATGACTTGTGGCACAAGGGTTTTTGCAAAGGTCTGGCATTGATTATATGGAGACATATTCTCCTGTAGTAGACGCAATTACCTTCAGGTGTCTAATAAATCTGGCAGTCCATGAAAAGCTTGATATGCGATTGATGGATATTGTCACGACCTACTTATATGGCTCACTGGACAATGAATTTTTTATGAAAATCCCTGGAGGATTTAAAGTTCATAAAGCACATAAAAGTTCAAGAGAAACTTGTTCAATAAAGCTTCAAAAATCCTTATACGGATTAAAGCAATCAGGGAGGATGTGATACAATCGTCTTAGCGAGTATTTGCTAAAGGAAGGGTACAAAAATGACCCTATTTGCCCTTGTGTCTTTATTAAGAGCTCTGGATCTGAATTTTTCATTATAGCTGCGTATGTTGATGACTTAAATATCATTGGCACTTCTAAAGAGCTTCCAAAAGCCGTAGAATGTTTGAAGAAAGAATTTGAAATGAAAGACCTTATTAAGACAAAATTTTGTCTTGGCCTACAAATTGAGCATGTACCAAATGGAATTTTTGTTCATCAATCAACATATACTGAAAAGGTTTTAAAGCGATTTTACATGGATAATGCACATCCATTGAGCACCCCAATGGTTGTGAGATCGCTTGATATAAATAAAGATCCATTTTGGCCTCAAGAAAATAATGAAGACTTCGTTAGTGATGAAACTCCATATCTTAGTGCAATTGGGGTACTGATGTATCTTGCCAACGATACCCGACCAAATATTGCTTTTGCAGTAAGCTTATTAGCAAGATTCAGCTCCTCCCCAACAAGAAGACATTAGAATGGTGTTAAGCATATATTTAGATATCTTCGGGGAACTATAAT